CCCCGCGGCGCGGGGGGGGGCGCGCCCCCCCCCCCCCCCCCCCCCCCCCCCCCCAGCGTCGCCTCTCCTCTCGCCCCTCTCCTCGCAGATTTGGGGAACCGGGGAGACGTGGTCAGCGTCAAGAAACACCTGGGTCGCAACAAGCTGCTGCCGCAGGGGCTGGCTGTCTACGCGTCGCCGGAGAACAGAAAGATGTTTGAGGAGGAGAAGAAGGTGAGTCGGCGCGGAGGGGGTTCCCCGGGCGTTTTTAGCCCGTCCACGCGTTGAAATCGGGAGATCCTACGGAAGGAGCGGCGATTGCGGTTTCAAAGGGTCGGTTGCTCTTTGGGATCGTCCCTGTCTCCCTCCACCCGCGCGTTTGTGGTTTTGTGGGGTGAGATCTGCCGATCGCCTTACAAGTACGGCACCACGATGAGCCCCGGCAGCGTGCCGGCAGGCTGCCCGGCACGCGACGTCGCCGAGCCTTCCCTTCGTTTATTCCCCTCGATCCCTTTTCCTTGCAGCTGCGCCAGGAAGGGAAGCTGGAGGTGCTCCAGACCCAGAGCGGGGAGAAGGTGAGTGGGGGGGCACCAGCCAGTCCGGAGTTGTTCCCGAGAAATCCCTGAGTCCCGGACAGCGCAAAGCCTCCGCCGGTGCCTCTTGGCCAGGTCGCCCTCCCTCCGGCTGCGGCCGGAGCAGGCAGCTGCCTGCACGTGTGCGCTTCCCGGTGCGGGTTGAGGGCCGGGGCAGCCCCGTGCCCCCCTCCCAAGCCCCTCGGGACCTCGCCGACTTCCCAGCCGGAGCGTCGGGAGCGCAGCCCTCTCCCCTCTGCCCCCGACACCTTCCTCCCCGCCCTCACAGACCATCAGGTTCCTCAAGAGCTGCCGCCTCGAGGTGGGCATGAAAAACAACGTCAAGTGGGAGCTGAACAACGAAATCGTGGCTCGCCACTTCCTCAAAAACGTGAGTGGTTCTCGCCGGCGTTGCCCGGAGCCGGCTCCGTGCCGGCCAGAAGCTCTGTGCCGCTGCCGGGAGCGAGCGGGGCCGCGGGAGTCGGTCGTGGGGGCCCGGATCCCGGGGGACGTGGCCGAAGGGGTTTAGCTGGGGTTGGGGAGCCAGCGGCGGCTCCGTGGCTGGTTTGGGGCTCAGCCGAGGCGCGTGCCGAGAGCGGCTCAGCGGAGGCCCTAAGCCCTTAAGGGGATTAAGAAAGGGAGATGGCAAAGGGGGAGATGAGGG